TATTATGACTTATTAGAATAGACCTAAAACAACTGAACTGGTCCGTAGTTATAGTGTATAATACAGCAGCACATTTATTTTACTACATTGCACTTATATTATGTAAAATTAAAAAAAAAAACAATACACGGAGCTGTAGCCAATCGTACGGCGGTATCGATTTCATATTACTACGGTAAAACCCGCCGACAATTTTTCAATCAAACCGGTTTATATCAACTGGTTTGTAATCAAACTGCAGTTTGTTTTTATTAACACGGAATTATTTGACATTGTGTATGACACAAGGTTTTACCCAATCTACGTCAAACACTCTACTTTTTATCTCGTTAACAACCAAAGCTACAAATTCAAAATCAATACGTAAGGATGAGTAACGAACATAATCCAGCATTGAATGTGCTTGAGCACATTGGAAAGTACTACATGCCGATTTTCATGGGTCTTTGTATACTGGGCAACAGTCTATCTGTGTATGTGCTCTTTTGCACAAACTACGTTACAACTCATCCAGCATCTACTTGGGTGCACTTTCGATGAGCGACATTGGTATGTTGGTGATGGTGTACATGAAGATGTTTAGAAACATGAAAATTACAACTCAGGAAAATTGGTTGCTGCTCTTATTGAATTGTTTGCAAAATGTATTTTGTTTCCTGAGTGTGTGGATTGTAGTGGTCTTTACTGTTCAACGATATACAGTGATCAAGTGGCCGCTACTTCGTCGCTTCTTGTGCACAGTTAATCGAGCGATGATCATAGTGATTGGACTGGCAGGATTAGCAGTTTTATACTGTGTCTCTCTATGGCTTGTTATAAGTGACAAAGCGTACGAGAATTTAAATATAGATGAGACAATAATGATCTGTCAGATTTTTTATACCAGTAATGCTATTATAACGTCGTTCTTACCTGCAATAATAATAGTAATTTTTAATGCTCTAATAGTATACAACATCCGCAAGCAAAATCGTATCCGAAGAAACATGATTTCAAGTTTCTCTGCTTCCAGTAAGAACACACAAAGTTCTGACAATGAAACGTCCGACATTGAAGTCACAAAAATGCTTGTTATTATTTCAACCTTATTCATATGTTTGAATGCACCTAGGAACGTCTTTGTACTTTGTTTCCTCTACCAAGTACGTATTAACATTTATTGTTAAAGAAAAATCAACTATCAAATAAAAAATTATTTTACTTTAGAAACACATTTTACATATTACAAAAAAGTATTAATTAACTTTTTTTAATATTTAAATTTTTACTATTATTACCAAATTTTTTTAATGCAATTGATATTAAAACTGTGTAATTGCTTATTATGTTTTAATAATAACTTATGACGCTAATAATCTTATTTGCAGATATTGTATATGAATTTTGACATATATTTACATATCAGCGGTTTCTTATATGTAATAAATTATGGAACAAATTTTGTTTTCTACTGCGCAACTGGAAAAAATTTTCGCAAAGAATTAATTTGCATGTTTATGAAACGTTCAGATAGTAGAACGGAAGATGTACAATAAAAAATTTTGAGGAACAGTGCGATTGATACTTACTCATTCAATTGTCATAAGGTAATGGTGAAACATGACGGTATACACATATTATATAAATTATTAATTATTATTTTTTACGATTATTTTTACAATTCTTACAATTAAATTAATACGGAAAAGATAAAAAATGTACTAGATTCTTTGTGTAATATAACTCTATATTTTGTTACAGGTTTAAAATTTATGCTTAAATAGACTTGGACAATAGAAATGGCACATTTGGTACTGCATTTGTTAACAATATGCAATAGAAATATTCTTAAGGATTTCTAAAACTCTTGACCACAAAATCACAAATAGTAACATTACATAAATATAGTTAAGTATAAATAGGTCAATAAGCACGTTAGAACTACTAAAACATATTAATAGTATTAATAAAAAAAAATATATGATACACCGACATAGTGCATGGAAAAAAATTACCAGAATCACAAGTTTATCAGTTCTGCAACTGAAAGTAGACAAGTACACACTTTGAAAGAAATGTTGATCCATTTATTGTTAGAATTAAATTATTATATCTTGAATCGAAAAGCAAATTAAATTGTCAATATTACATTAATGACGTACATGTACTATTCGCAAAATATTTTATAAAAAAGCTAAAAATTTATATATATATACTTATACGTATAATTATCATACTGTTTACATGTATTGTAGTACACAAATATGTAATTAATCAATGTATATTGATGTGAAAATAAATGTTTGTAACTTTCATTTATGACATATGTTTCGTCCTGGCGCAGTCACGGCGATAATGTTTGGACCTAAACATGAGACTCAATCGATAAAATTTTAGAAATATTTGTAAACGATCAGTGGATCGTTTGATATACAGATTTTATGAAATTATAGAAAAGGAAAAACCGTAGAGAATTTAGGACACTCGTTGGTTATAATCATGTTTTTCGTAAAATTTTTATTTATTTATTTATTCTGTTCTCTGCACAACCAAATTTGGACTCCGCCCAACCAAACCGTAGTAAAATCGTATCGAGCGCGGTATTGCTAGTTGAACTGGGTTTGTCGTTACACATATTAATTCGTTGGTTTGTTGCCTCATTAATATTCTTTCATATAACAACCATTAAATTGAAACATCGTTTTGTTGGAGTAAAATCTATATCTTGGGTCGTTACCAGAAATCTATTCGGCTACAATCGGTTTTGTCTCAATGGAAATTGGGAACAGCCGGAAGCTATTGTCCACTGTACAAAGTAAATTTCACTGCTTATAGCACGATTATTACTGTTTGCGGCACAAATCTCATTGGCTTAGTTTACATCGATTGTTTAGTACGCGTACCAAATACTAAATCTGCTTCTTTGATAGGTATAAATTGTTAAGTGTAAAATCTACACCAATCAAAGAAGCAGATTTAATACTTGGTACGCGTACTAAACAATCGGTGTAAACTAAGCCATTGTTTTTAACGTGGTTGTCACTATTCGCCGCGCAACGTGACAACACGCATTTGTTACAACACACAAACTGGGCGATCAATCGGCGAAGTTGATTCTGTCCACCGGCACGGTGCGGTTACGACATTGGGCTTTAAAAGATGACATGTGAGTCTATTGAAATTAATTATTTTAGTGAGTGTGCGAATCGGCCACACTAACGACAAGGAGTGAGTATAAGTGACTTGTCCTCTCAATGTAATCGAGAGGCACGATTGAGCTACAGATACAAAAATTAAGTAAAATGTGGATATTACTTGAGATAATGTGCCACTAGAACTTGTCTTCTCAGTGACGAAATAAAATCAAGAATTTTTATACTTAAAGTTAATTAAATGTTTAAATTTAGTAACTAAAATAAAGCCGTTTTTATGAGATATTCAGAATTGGAAAAATAATATAGCTTTATAGAAATAACTATACTCTAATAGAACTTACAATTTTAATTGTGCAATTAAATTTTAAAACAAAAAATAAAAATGAGAACTTATAAAACTTTGGTGGCTCATAAGTTAGGTACAGGGAAGAGTGTGGCATACACAACTCCAAAATTTTTTAAAGAATTAAACAGGCATTTTGAAAGCCTGTATTTATAAGACTTTTGTCCAATGCAACAATTGTGTCGTGTGTAAGTGCGGCATACGATTGACGCTCGATGAGAGTGTGCTTCAAGAGAACCGCATAGTGATATGATTTTAATTCGCAAAGATCAATATGAAGAGAATCGGTTACTCAGAGAGTAATTTACATCAGCGAGTGACAAGCAATATAGGAATATCGCTTACAGCATTAATGATAATGAATGTGTCGAGAATTGACAAAACTATTGTGAGAACAACTGTAGATGTTTAGGGGATTTTGTACAGGTTGTAAGATGCCAAAAAATTTAATGATACAAAAAGTATCGGATTGCGTCTCACGGGCAACGAGGGTAGAGCGAGTTAAATGTAGAAAGCGACGCGTGCACCGATCAATAAAGAGAAAATTTTATTGCGCAAAAAAATGGGAACGCTACAAAATCTGCGCGCAATATCAAAATTACAATCTTGAAGATATAGATAACTTTTTACAAATGCAATATATTCTGTTTTTAGAACAATAACTATAGAAAAGTTAAAAATAAAAAATATGTGGCATTAATTTTTATTCATTGTATGTAGTTATATTTATATCATCACTTATGTCATATAATATAATTAATTTTTTCAAAGATGTGTTTACAAATAACACACACATTAAACAATAACTGTATGTACAAGACACGCATTTAACTAGTAAATAAAAAACCTATGAATCATAAAGATGATTTATTTATTGGCACAAGAGATTTATACTCTTATTCTTTTTATTTGCTTATCATTCTTGTCTTAAAGAACTGCTTTGTATATACGTTTTTATATATAATTTTATACTTTTCTTGCACTTTTAAATTATTTTCTTAGTATTTTAAGATAAAAAATCTTTTTCTATTCTTCAAAAATCATACATTACTTAATTAGAACAGAATTAATTAAAATTGTTTCCTATTAAAAACGTATGTGTAACTAACCGTATTTATATTATAAAAGTTATTTAATTAAAAATATCTTATTAAAAAATTTAATTAACTTATTAAATAAAAACGCGCCAGTTCTTTCGAAAGCACTAATTTTTCTTTTTATAATTATATAAAAACCAGCAAGGTGCTTGAAAACAGTGCAGTGTATAACTGATGTTTGATCTGAAATGATATAATGTCTTCAAATCTTAGTAACAGTAGCACTAAGAAAACTTAATTAATCTGTAGTAACGGTGAATAATGCGGCAGTACACATTTTACTAAATTACACTTATATTATTTAAAATTTTTGAAAACAAAATATAAAGCTGTAACAAATTTATATTGCTAAAATGCGCTGACAAATTCAATCAAACCGGAAAACTACAATTTATATTATAGAGAACTGTTCGACGTTGTGTATGACACAAGATTTCTGCTTTTTTTTCGTTAAGAACTGCTGCTAACAAGCAAGCAAGCTGCTTCAAAATCAATACGCAAAGATGAGCGACGAATATAATTCAACGTGGAATGTGATAAATCACATTGAGAAGTACTACTTACCGATTTTCTTGTGTCTTTCTCTGTTGGGCAACAGTCTATCTGTATATGTGCTCTTTTGCACAAAACTACGTTACAACTCATCCTGCATCTACTTGGGTGCACTTGCGATAAGCGACATTGGTGAGTTAGTGACGGTATTCGGGAGGTGGTTTATAAAAATGAAAATTATAACTGTGGAATATTGGTTGCTAATTTTATGGCATGGTTTGCAAAATTTATTTTCTTTTCTGAGTGTGTGGATTGTAGTGGCCTTTACAATTCAACGATATATAGTGGTCAAGTGACCGCTACTTCGTCACTCCTTGTGCACAGTGAATCGAGCGAAAATCATAGTGATTGGACTGGCGGGATTAGCGGTTTTAAACTCAATCCCATGGTTTATTATGAAAAACATTTTGTACACAAATTTAGATGCAAATGAGAGAAAAAACTTAAAGTACTGGTGGTGGACTTTTAGTATCATTCATGCTATTATAACGTCTTTCTTATCTGCAACAATAATAGCAATTTCTAATACTCTAATAGTATACAATATCCGAAAGCAAAATTGTATCCGAAGAAACATGATTTTAAGTTTTTCTGTTTCCAATAAGAAAACACAAAGTTCTGACAATGAAGCGTCCCACATTGAAGTCTCAAAAATGCTTGTTATCATTTCAACCTTATTCATATGTTTACATACACCTTGGAACGTCATTCTGCTTGGTTTGTTATATGAGGTACGTATTAACATTTATTGTTAAAGAAAAATCAGCTATCAAATAAAGAATTATTTTACTTTGGAAACACATTTTACATATTACAAAAAAGTATTAATTAAGTTTTTTTAATATTTAAATTAATTTTTGCTATTATTACTAAATTTTTTTAATGCAATTCATATAAAAACTGTGTAATTGTTTATTATGTTTTGATAACTTATGACGCTAATAATCTTATTTGCAGATATTTAATATGAATTTTGTCATATATTCACATGTCAGCGGTTTGTTATATATAATAAATTATGCAACAAATTTTGTTCTCTACTGCGCAACTGGAAGGAATTTTTGCAAAGAATTAATTTGCATGTTTATGAAACGTTCAGATAGTAGAAGGGAAGATGTAGAATGAAAAATTTTAGGAACAGTGCGATTCATACTTAATCATTCAATTGTTATGTATAAAATAATATTATGATGAAACATGATGTTACACACACACACACACACACACACACACACACACACACGCGCGCGCGCGACAAATATATACACACTATTTACATATTAATAATACACTAACTAACTTTTTAACTAATTAGTAAATTACTAATTTAATTTAATTAATTTTAGTTTTATTTTACTTTAAATTTTAAATTTAGTTTCTTAGTTATATTACTAAGTAGTACTAAAATTTTTAATAAATATGTATAATTATTTATTTTTATTATGTACTAAACCCCCCCCTTTTACCCTAAACGTTAAAAAAAAATTTAAATTTTAGTCTGGATCCGTTTCAAGAATCTTGGTAAAAAATGCATTAAATCAGGTCAAAACTTCCCCTATTATCGACATCAGGATTCGTTAGTGATTATATCATACGGCATCTCAACACGATATGAATTATATAACGTGATATTTAATTTTTTAAATTATTTTTTATTAAAAATTGCTAATTGCAATTAACAATGGTGAGATAAAAAAATCTAATTCAACTTATTTCATTAGAAAGTAATCAAAAAGTTTTTTTAATATTATTTAATTATCAAATATATAGTTTCTTTACTTTCAAAATGTATTCTCTGCAGGCAATATTCTATGTATTATAAAATGATATTAATTAACTTTTCCCTAAATTTCAAATTTTATTTTAGAATTCTTAATGTTTAATCGCGCGCGCGCATTATATTTATCAACAACAAGAAAAATATTTTAACACTCGGACATTTACATATTTGACTACATATTAACAAAAGAAATGTTATAACTATTTTTAAATATTAAACTCTCAAACAATATTGAAGAAAAATAAAAATAAAAACATCTGCCTGTTAATTGTTTGATTGTTGAGACATTTACTTTGTTGCATTATATAACAGTTTTATGAAGTTAGAAGTATGTATAGTATATGAATAAAATAGCTACGAAAATACTACGCTTTACTGTTAAGACTATATAAATTCAATTAATATAAAAACTGTATTATTGTTTACATTTTTTTAATAATGACATATAACGATAATAATCATGTTTGCAAATGATTTATGATTCGACCGTAAATGTATCAGTAGTTGGGTATTTGTAGCAAATTTCAGAACAAACTATGTTGTTTATTGTACAACTGAAAAGAATTTTTCGCAACGTCTACCAGTCGTTTAGACATTAGAAAAAACGAAGATGTCTTAGAGATGCAAACTTATGAGGAATGGTATGATACTATCGTGCAATTATAATGATAAAACACGATGAGGCATAATTATCGTATAATACTTAATTGTTTCAAAACGATATTTACGAATAACGCTCATTAAGTAACACATGTGTTACATATATATGTATTTTTATTTTTTGATTTTATATAATAATTTTTTTTTTTACTTTATAATTTTTTACTTTATATTTTAGTAATCATACGTTGCACGACTAAAACAAAAATTAATTAAAGTTATTTCGAATTAAAAATATATGTGCAATTAACAAGGTTTGAGTAAAAAATTTAATTAACTTTTTCTACCACTTATAATTTAACTAACTTTTCCACACCTATTGTATGTGTAACTCACCGATTCTCACGAGAGCTCGATGTCGTGCATAAACGACAGCAAGAATTTTTAATTTAAATATAAATTTTAATTTTTTAATAATGTAAATAAAGTCTACTTTAATCCAACAGACAAGCTTGAAAATAGTACAGTGTATAACTGACGTTTCATGTGAAATTATATAATGTTTTTAAATGTTAGTAACAGTAACATTAAGAAGGCTTAATTGATCTAACGGTGAATAAGCAGTACATATTTTACTAAATTTCACTTATATTAATTAAAATTTTATTAAACAAAACACAGAACTGTAGCCAGTTTTCCAATCGTACGTATCGACTTTATATTGCTACCGTTGCTCTGACAATTTTTCAAACAAAGCGGTTTATATCTACCGTTTTATAATCAAATTTATAATAACAACGGAATTGTTTAACATTGTTTATAACATAAGGTTTTATCCACTCTACGTTTTATTAACTTCAGACATTTTCCACTTCCTTTCTCATTAACAACTGCAGCTAACAATTCAAAATCAATCATAAGGATGGACGCCGAATATGATACAATACCGAAAGTGGTTATATATATTAGACAATACTGCATACCGATTTTCTTGTGTCTTTCTTTGGTGGGCAACAGTCTATCCGTGTGTGTACTCTTTTGCACAAAACTACGTTACCATTCATCCAGTATCTACTTGGGTGCACTTGCGATGAGCGACATTGGTGTGTTAGTGACGTCATTCATGTTATGGTTGTTTTTCATGGAAATTCTACTTTATGAATTTTGGTTGACCATTCTTTTCATTGGTTTACGATTTTTATTTTGTTTCCTGAGTGTGTGGATTGTAGTGGCCTTTACAGTTCAACGATATATAGCGATCAAGTGGCCACTTCGTCGCTCCTTGTGCACAGTTAATCGAGCGATAATCACATTGATTGTACTGGCGGGATTAGCAGTTTTATACTCTATCCCTTGGTTTATTCTGTTCAGTATTTTGGCGTACAATCTATTACCTAGAGAATATAATACAATGAAACTCTGGATAATAAGTGTAAGCGCCATTGATACTATCATAACGTTTGTCTTACCAGCAATAATGATAGCAATTTTTAATGGCCTAATAATGTACAACATTCGCAAGCATAATCGTATCCAAAGAAACTTGATTTTAAGTTCTGCTGCTTCCAATAAGAAAACACAAAGTTCTGACAATGAAGAGTCACACATTGAAGTCACAAAAATGCTTGTTATTATTTCAAGCTTATTCATATGTTTGAATATACCTCTACAAGTCGTTATAATGTATATCGTCTATGGCAGCGCTCGGAATTAGTTGCACATTTCGGGCCGATTTCCGAGACAACGCCTCCTGTTCCCCCACTACCGCCCGGCCGCTGGCGCCCGAGCCGCCGATAGCTCTGGCTCAGGAGCGTTTTATATTAGAAATAGACTGGATTGTTTAGGCATCTTTTAGGAAATCGTAACATTTTCTTCATTACATAAATAATGTTTATTTTTATTATTACATAATATATATATATTTAATTATTAATAAAAATAAACATTATTTATGTAACAAAGAAAATATTACTATTTTCTGAGAGGTACCTCAACAACCCAGTTTATATCTTATATAAAACGCTCCTGCGCCAGAGCTATCGGCGGCTCGGCCGCCAGCGGCCGGGCGGTAGTGGGGGAACAGGAGGCGTCGTCTCAGAAATCGGCTCGAAATGTGCAACTAATTCCGAGCGCTGGTCTATGGCGTACGTATTAACATTTACAATTAAAGAAAAATCAATTATCAAATACAAAGTTTCTTTACTTTACAAATACATTTTACATGTTATAGAAAAGTATTAATTAATTTTTTAATTTTTAAATTTTTTTTTTATTGTTTCTAAATTTCTTTTAACGCAAACAATATAAAAACTGTGTTATTGTTTATTTTCTTTTAATAATAACTTATAATGCTTATAATCATATTTGCAGATAGGGAATGCGGATATTTACAACCTTTATCCCATTGGCATATTTTTAAATCTTATAAGTTACGGAATAAACTTTGTTCTCTACAGCGCAACTGGGAAGAATTTTCGCAAAGAATTGATTCGCATCTTTACAAAACGTTCAGATAGTACATAGAATGAACGAAGGTATAGACATGAAAAATTTTGCGGAACAATGCGATTGATACTTTAATCATTCAATTGTTATAAGGTAATGTAATGAAGAAACATGATGGTATACATATATTATTTAAATCATTAACTTTTACATTTTTTTTATGATTCTTACAATTAAGTTAATGCGAAAAATATAAAAAATGTCGTATACTCTTTACTAATATAATAAAACTTTATATTTTGTTATAGGTTTAGTATTTATGCTTAAATATACTTGGACAAAAGGAACGGGACTCGTTTGTTAACAATACGTAAAATGAAAAATTCTTGAGAAACGCTTAAACTCTTGTTCACGATATCACAATATAGTATATAAATATAGTTAAGTATAAATAGTTCAATAAGCACGTTAGAAGTACTGAAAGATATTAAAAGTATCAAGATAAGAAAGATGCATACACCGATACAGTGCACGGAAAAATATTGCAACAATTATACGTTCTTCAACTAGTAGATCCACACAAAGAAATGTTGTAAAAGAAATTTTGATTTATTTGTGTGAAACGGTTTGCCTTTCCCGACGCTTGGGCTAGCTCGTCAGAGCCAGGAATCGAGCGAAGAGTGTAGTGTGACACGGCCAAATAAGATTTTCAGTTGATTGCAATAAATAAATAATTTACTGAATTTAATAATGTTTGTAGTTAAAAATGTTGTAGTTAAAAATGTAAAAATATGTTTCATCGATTTGTCGTCACAATGCATAATACTGTAATAATTTTTTACATAATATTGCACATCAAAAAATAGGTTTGTTGCTCGGTCGCCGACAGAGTTTTATATCATTGTCGGTTGCATGTAAATTGTTTATATGCAATCTTTGATAAAGGTAATGATCAACTACCTTTTATTCGCGAGTGGATCGAGTAGCTTGCGATGAAGGGGGTTGGTTCATTTGTATTTCTATTTCATATGTTATATCATGTGTTATAATTTTGTCTGTCTTTGTTAATCGTTGTCCTTAGCAACAGATTAATATAAAATCTCTTCTCTTAGGAACCGTTGTTGTTGTTTACAATTTATCTTCAATAAGTAAACATGTGTAATTTTCTAATGTAAAAGTATTGTGAAAGTAATAAATGTTTTGTGTTTTGTAATACGTTTAAATGTATACGTCTCGTATTTGTGTCTGTCGAAAACAATCGTAATACTGTGGTGGATCTCCAACCGGATAACTTGGAAACGGCGAGTTCTCCAAACATTATATTAATTACTATCTAATTGTTTTTTTTTGCAATAACAAATCTGTTTAATTATTTTAAAATTAACGTATCATAATGATCAGTTTGCCTACTTAATATATCTTATGTGTGTACAAATAAAAATATGCAGAATGTTGTATAAAATAATTAATAAAAACTCATAGAACGGTAGCCGGTTTTCCAACCAACGGCGATATCGAATTTATATTGCTATTAAATAAAATTATATTGCTATTAAAATTGCTATTAAATTAGTTTTGCGCTGACAATTTCAATCAAACCGATACACTGCAGATTGTATTAACAAAAAATATTATAAAGTTTTTCCAGGTTATTATGAATGACACAATCATTATTTCTTTTGTCATTTAGAAATCATACATTACACGATTAAAAAAGAAATTATTTATTAAAATTGTTTCTATAAATTAAAAATGTTTGTATAAAGAAAACTAATAAAAAGTGTTTTATCAAAAAATTTAATTAATTTTTTTTACCACGTACCATATTATATGTCACTCTTTGGTTCTCATAAAAGTCCCGTTTCACACACGAGTGACAGGAAGAATTTTTTATTTTAATCTAAATTTTAATTTTTAATAATGTAAATAAATGAAACTACTTATTGCTGTAGTAAATATAGCAGATAAGCTTGAAAGCAGTATAATGTATGTTTGAGCTTGTGTAATTATATTATGTTATTTTTAATAATTGTAACAGTTATTAAGATTTATTCTACAATAAGTCGTCTATAGCTGTAGGATATATCGCATATCGTATGACGGATATCATTGCGTCTTACCGTTTTACATAAATATCATGTTATAATACAAAAAATAAAGATTAATTGTTGCCACAAAAATGAATAATCTACATAAAGAAAGTCGCAAAAAACCTTTGTCAACTGGAATTCGTGTTACAGTTATATGATATCGTCTATTGTTGTGGTATTCACATTTTGTGCGAACATTAAAAAGTTAATAAATTTGTTCTTTGTCATAATCGGAAAGAATATGAAAGTTAAACATTTTTTTTCCCGACTGTAACATAAGACTTCAGATAATTGGTTGCGACAGCCTGCACAGTACGTTTGCGCCCGATAGCCACATCTGACTTATTATAGAATAGATCTAAGTCAGCTGAACTGGTCTATTGTCATAGAGTATAATACAGCAATACATTTATTTTACTACACTGCACTTACATCATGTAAAATTTTAAAAAACAAAACAACATGGGACTCTAACCAATCATACGGCGGTATTGGATTTATATTGCTACCGTAAAACGCGTCGACAATTTCAATCAAACAGCAGTTTACATTAAAGAACACTGTTTGACATTGTGTATAGCACAAGGTTTTATCCATTCTAAGTTCAGACGCTTTCTGTTATTTTCCTCGTTAATAACTGCTCGCTAATAATTCATTAATAACTCTTGTTAATGACAATTTAAAATTCATACGCAAGGATGAGCGACGAACATAATCCAACATTGAATGTGTTTGAGCACATTGAGAAGTATTACTTACCAATTTTTTTGTGTCTTTCTCTGCTGGGCAACATTCTATCCGTGTGTGTGCTCTTTTGCACAAAGCTACGTTACAACTCATCCAGCATCTTCTTGGGTGCACTTGCGATAACCGACAATGGAGTGTTGGTGACGGTATTCGTAAACTGGTTTAAAAGGATAAAAATCATAAATGAGGAATATTGGTTGAAAATCTTATTGATTGGTTTGCAAATTACATTTTGTTTCCTAAGTGTGTGGATTATAGTGGCCTTTACAGTTCAACGATATATAGTGATCAAGTGGCCACTACTTCGTCGCTCCTTGTGCACAGTTAATCGAGCGAAAATAATAGTGATTGGACTGGCGGGATTAGCAATTTTATACTCAATCCCATGGATTATTGTGAGAAACATAGGGTCCACAAATTTAGATGCAGATGGGAGAAAAAACTTAAAATACTGGTGGAGAATTCTTAATATCATTCATAGTATTATAATGTGTTTTTTACCTGCAACAATAATAGTAATTTTTAATGCTCTAATAATTTACAACATTCGCAAGCATAATCGTATCCGAAGAAACATGATTTCAAGTTTCTCTGCTTCCAATAAGGACACACAAAGTTCTGACAATGAAGCGTTCCACATTGAAGTCACAAAAATGCTTGTTATTATTTCAACCTTATTCATATGTTTGAATATACCAACACACATCGTTTTTTTTTCTATCAACACTGGCGTATGTATTAACATTTTTTGTTAAAGAAAAATCAATTATCAAATACAAGATTTCTTTAAGGATGCATTTTACATATTATAAAAGGCTATTAATTAATTTTTTTTATATTCTAGTTTTTTCTATTATTCCTAATATTTTACCAAATATAATGTTATTTAATATGAAAACTGTATTATTTTTTATAATTTCTTAATGTTAATTGTAACGATACTAATCATATTTACAGATCTATGGTAGATATTATCAGTTAATTACATTCATCTGCGATTTATTATGGATAGCAAATTATGGAATGGATGTTGTTTTGTATTGTGCAACTGGAAAAAATTTTCGCAAAGAATTGATCCGTATGTTTACGAAGTCTTCAGATACTAGAAGAAACGAAAATATGGAGATGGAAAATTTCAATGATTAGTGCGATTATTACTCAATTATGCAATTATAAGGTAATATAATGATAAAGCACGACATCAAAAAATCTAATTAAAATATATATATTATATATTATATATATATTACATATTATGTTATATTATATATTGGAAAAAAATTTTGAAATATTATTTAATTATTTACTATTTAATTAAATACATAGTTTCTTTACTAAAAATGTATTCTCTGTAAGCAATATTCTACATATTAAGAAAGGATATTAATTAATCTTAATTAATTAATTAATTAATTAATCTCTTCTTTAAAATTGAATTTTTCTTTAAAAGTTTTTAATGTTTAATCGTTACATTTGCTAACTATAAAATAAATGCTACAATAGTCGAATACATTTACATATATGACTACATAATAATAAAAAAGTAATTACAATTATTTATAAATATTAAATCCCTAAACGGTATTAAAAAAAAAAAAATAAATGTAACTATACTTGTCAAATAGTTGGTTACTAATATTTACTTTATTATATTATACAACATTTTTATAAAGTTAAAAGTTTGTATTTGAATAAAATGCATGCCAAAATATTACGCATTACTGTTAAGACAATATAAATTTAATTCATATAAAAATTGTATTAATATTTATATTTCTTTAATTATGACATATAACGGTAATAATCATGTTTGCAGATAATTTATGATTTGATTCCATAAGTTACTGTATCTGTCAGTAGTTGCATTTAGACAGCAAATTTTGGAATAAATTTTGTTGTTTATTACACAACTTGAACGAAATTTCGCAAACAATCCGGATGCTTACGAAATATTTGGACATTAGCAGAAACGTAGAGACATCAAGGAGATTATGAAAATAAAAGATTATAACGAGTGGTGTGATTAATACTATCATGCAATTACAATTGTGATAAAATACGACGGTAGAATTATCGTATTATATTTAACTTTTCAAAACAATGTTTACATATAGCATTTACATTAAGTAATAAATGTGTTACATGTATATATATTTTTGTTATTTAAATTTGTACAATAAATTCTCATTTTACTTTATAGTTTTTAACTTGATGCCTTACAAATTATATATTACACAATTTAAACAGAGATTAATTAAAGTATCTTTTCATTAAAAATATATGTTGACATTGCAGTTAATGTTGTTTAAATAAAAAATCTAAATAAAATTGTCTTATTAAAAAATTTAATCAACTTTTGTTACCACGCAACATATTATATGTGTCACTCATCGGTTTTTATGAGAGCCCGATATTAGCCACATGAGTGACAGCAAGAATTTTTAATTTATATATAAATTATAATTTTTAATAATATAAATAAAGTCTGCTTTAAACTACCAGACAAGCTTGAAAATAGTGTATAACAAACGTTTGATCTGCAATGATATGATGTCTCCAAATCTTACAATTAGTAACAATAACATTAAGAAGATTAAATTGATTTGGAGTAACGGTGAATAATACAGCAGTACATATTTTAAATTACACTTATATCATGTAAAATTAAAAAAAACGAAACACGGAACTGTAGCCAGTTTTCCAATCATACGACGATATCGATTTTATATTACTACAACGTAAAACGCGCTGAGAATTTTTCAATCCAACCGGTTTATATAAACCGGTTTATAATTGAACAGTTTACATTAACAAAGAATTGTTTGACATTGCGTATGACACAAGGTTTTATCCACTCTACGTTCAGACACTTTCTGCTTTTTATCTCGTTAACAACCAAAGTCACAAATTCAAAATCAATACGCAAGGATGAGTGACGGACTTGAAACAGCATTGAATGTGACTGTGCACATTGATAAGTACTACTTACCGATTTTCTTGTGTCTTTCTGTGCTGGGCAACAGTCTATCCGTGTATGTACTCTTTTGCACAAAACTACGTTACAAGTCATCCAGCATCTACTTGGGTGCACTGGCGATGAGCGACATTGGTGTGTTAGTGACAACATTCGTGACGTGGTTTGAAGACATGGAAATTATAACTCAGGAATATTGGTTGCTAATCCTACATAATAGTTTGGAATATACATTTACTTTCTTGAGTGTGTGGATTGTAGTCACCTTTACATTTCAACGATATATAGTGGTCAAGTGGCCGCTACTTCGTCGCTCCTTGTGCACAGTTAATCGAGCGAAAATTATAGTGATTGGACTGGCGGGATTAGCAGTTTTATACTCAATCCCATTTATTATTATGAAAATAATGTACACAAATTTAGATGCAGATGAGGGAAAAAATTTGTTGTACTGGTGGTGGATTTTTCTTATTATTGATGCTATTATAACGTGTTTCTTACCTGCAACAATAATAGTAATTTTTAATGCTCTAATAGTATACAACATCCGCAAGCAAAATCGTATCCGAAGAAACATGATCTCAAGTTTTTCTGCTTCCAATACGAACACACAAAGTTCTGACAATGTAGCGTCCCACATTGAAGTCACAAAAATGCTTGTTATTATTTCAACCTTCTTCATATGTTTGAATGTACCTTTATGCGTCGTTAATCATTATTTCTACAATAGCGTACGTATTAACATTTTTTGTTAAAGAAAAATCAACTATCAAATACAAGATTTTTTTAAAGATGCATTTTACATATTATAAAAGGCTATTAATAAATTTCTTTTAATTCAAGTTTTTTCTATTATTCTTAACATTTTACTAAATATAATGTGAATTAATACAAAAACTGTATTATTCTTTACAATTTTTCAATAATAGTTAATTGTAACAATACTAATCATATTTACAGATCTGTGGTATATATTGTGTCATAATTCTGTACATCGCCCGATTATTATGGTTAGCAAATTATGGAATGGACGTTGTTTTGTATTGTGCAACTGGGAAAAATTTTCGCAGAGAATTGATCTGCATGTTTACGAAATCTTCAGATATTAGAAGAAACGCAGGTATGGAAATGGAAAATTTCAAAGATTAGTGCAATTATTATTCAATCATGCAATTATTATAAAGTAATATAATGATGAAGCACGACATCAAAAAATCTAATTAAATTATATATATTATATGTTATATATATTAAATATTATATCATATTATGTTTTTTTAAAAAATTTCAAAATATTATCTAATTATTTACAATTTAATTAAATACATAGCTTTTTTACTAAAAATGTATTCTCTGTAAGCAATATTCTACATATTAAGCAAAGATATTAATTAACTCTTCTCTAAAATTGAATTTTTCTTCAATAATTTTTAATGTTTAATCGTTACATTTGCTAACAATGAGATGAATGCTGCAACAGTCAAACACACTTACATACATGACTACATAATAATAAAAGAGTAATTATAATTATTTATAAATATTAAATTCCTAAACGATATTAAAAAAAAACAAAAATAAAAACAACTATACTTGTTAAATATTTGGTACTAACATTAATTTTATTGTATTATACAATATCTTTATAAAGTTAGAAGTTTGTATATGAATAAAATGCCTGCAAAAATACTACGCTTTTCTGTTAAGACGATATAATTTTAATTGATATAAAAACTGTATTATTGTTAAAATTTTTTTAATTATGATATATAATGGTAATAATTATGTTTGCAGATGATTTATGATTCGACCATGAGTTACTCGGTATCAGTAATTGGGTATATACAGGCTGTCCGGTAATTGCTGAAGCACTTGGATGAAAAAGACTAGGATTTTCGTTAATTGTTATTTCAAAAACGTTTTTAAGTTTTAAAAGTGGATTTTGCAGATCCTGTACGTTTTTGCCAAATAATATATCATCATTTACATGAATGGTTAGAAATGCAGAATTATCATTCTTTTTAAAAATACATTTTTCAGTTAGCAGTTGTTTTAAACCATATTTTTTAAGTGTTTTTATAAACTTCTTGTTCCAGCTGTACGATACTTGCTTGAGACCGTATAACGCTTCCTTGAGCTTGCAAATTTTATTTTTCTTTTCTATATATCCTTCTGGTAAATACATAAAAATTTCCTCTTCTAATTCTCCATAGAGAAAAGCGGTTTTTACATCGAATTTAATGTAGTTCCAGTTGCAATGTGCAGCAAATGCAAATAATATTCTTAAAGCAGCACTATCAACCACGGGACAATTTTTCATAATCTATGTTGTTTCTCTGTTCACATCCTCTTGCTACGAGTCTCGCTTTATATTTTCCATCTTCTTTAATCTGAAAAACCCATCTATTTGATAAACATTTCTTTCTTCTTGCTTCGTTAGTATTTACTAGTTCCCAAGTTTTATTCTGTTTTAATGAGTTTTTCTCTTCCTGTATAGCTTTTATCCATTTCTTTCTGTCTTTACTGTTTATGGTTTCATCATATGTCACAAAAGCATGATCATTGTATTTGTTCGGAAATTTTGTATGCCTATTAGATCGTCTTAGTGTTTTTTTTTCTTGTTCTAGTAATATGTTATTGTTTCTTTCTAATATTCTTTTATTTTCATCATTCTTTTCTTCATCTCAAGAATTTTTGTTGATTTCAGCATCCTCTTCATTTTCTCTTTCATTCTCTTCATCTTCATCATCAAAATCTTCTTCGGTGTGCTACACGCACACAGGTTTTATTTTTATTTTTCTTCCTTTCAGTGTGCTTATTTTCTTCCTCATTAAAATGCACTTCTCGCGAAACAGCTGTTTTTCTTTTAATTGAATCCCCTAATCTATATCCTGTTTGCGTACAACCAACAAATTTTACGATTTTACTCCTATTATCTAATTTTTTAAGCTGTCCAAATTCTTTTACATATGCTGTACAACCAAAAATTTTCAAATTCTTTAAATTGGATTTACTACCATTCCACATCTCATATGCTGTTTGTATATTTGTTTTTGTTTGTTATATTTGTTTTTGGACTTCTATTGAGTAGAAACACTGCAACTCTTACTGCTTCTTCCCAAAATATTTTATTTTTCTCTGCTCTTGCAATCATTGCTCTCACCTTTTTTAACTAATGTTCTGTTTAAACGTTTAGTTTTTCCATTTAACTGTAGAGTATAAAGTAGAGTATAATTTATTGTTATGCCTTTATTTTTACCGAATTCTCAATTGTTTGCTACAATACTCTCTACCGTTATCACAATAAATTTCAACAGTTTTTTAATTGAATTTTCTTTCGCTTGTGTCAGAAATTCTTTTAATTTTTCAGAAACTTCTCCTTTCTCGGTCGGAGATAAACTGTTACCAAATTAGTATAATTATTATAAAAAATAACAAAATACCTATTTTTGTCCCATGTTTCTAGAGTAATTGGTCCACAGACATCTGTGTGAATGATTTCCAACGGTCGTAGTTTTTTTTCTTTGATCTCCGAAAGGCAATCTTATATGATTTGTCTGTATACATGTTTCACGATTTGAGAGCTGTTCTTCAATTTCATTCTTTGTTAATTTCATCCCTTCAAACAAATTTAATAATTTAATCATGTTATTAGTGCCTAAATGACCCAATCTTTCATGTCATATTTTAGCTGACGTTTTTTTAACAGTTGTCATAGATGTTTCTATATTTTTATTAATTTTAATAACATATAATTTATCTGTATTTCTTTTTCTTTTGAGACCTGTATTTTTATTTTTGCTTATTATTACTTTGTTCTTGTAAAATGCTACCTTTCCTCTCTTTTGCGTTATCGCACTAACCGACAAAAGATTTCTTTTTAAATTGCGTATATACAATACATTATTTACATGAATTTAATTCAAGTATGTATATAACAGTTTTCAATCTCCCGTTTACTTACTTTTTATTTTAATTTGAACTCTTAATGTATACCATTGCATTTATTGCAATCCTAACTTATTTTCTACCAAACTACAATTGGGTGGAAAGGATTTTAACGTCTTTCACATCTTTCACGTTATGTAGAATCTTGCGAGCAAATTTTTTTTTTATTTGTATTTTTATTTTTATTAATGTACACTGAAAAAGGCCTGATGGCAGGCAGAAACGTTTGATTTTATATAAACAGTTTTAACGAATATATCATAACCTTCGCACGAAGAACTAGCATTGTAACTCTTTACGCTCCTATTGATTTTAATTGATTTTGGTAATCACTAGAGTCTTATATATTATTAATTTTAACATTATTTAACTCACAGTTTCTTAAGTCGTCCCTGTCTTCTTAGCTATCATGCTTCCTTCTTTCTTTGCCACACCAATCTTTGTTAATATGTTCCGTCTTTCCTTCAAATTCTCTAAATCATTCGTCATGTGAGACGTTGATCCCGAATCGACAATCTAAACGTCGTTTTTTCCAGTGCTTGTAAGAAAAGCTACTACTTTAACATTTTTTTCTTTTGCAGAATCACCCTTTTTCTTTCTAAAAAAACAAACTTTTTCAGAGTGATTTTATGTTTTACATATTTTACAGAATTTTGAAGAAATTTTTTTTGCAATCTTTTGCTACGTGATCGGTTTTATGACAATTAAAACATTTTATGTCATTACCTTTTTTAATAGCATCTACCTTTTTACATGCGTGCGCAAGATGACTTTTTACGTTGCATTTACAGCGCTTTCTCTCGTCTGTCTTAAACGCCACTGCTTCTTCTTGATCCGACCGATTCCATGCTTCCTCAGCTAGAAGTCTTGCCGTTAAATTCATTATGTTTCGTTCCGCTGATGGTGTTGATTCCCATGTACTAATAAAAAATCTGTAATTTTTTGGCAAGGCTGTTAATATTTTAGAAATTATTTAAGTGTTTTAGTGTCGTTTATTTCTTCTCCTAGACACTTGAGTTTAATAACGAGATTTTTTAATGTTTAGTTATGTACGTGGCCATGTCGGAATCACTTCTTTTTTTATATTCAAAAAATTCTTGCATCACAGCGCATTTCTGATATTGTGAATCTCTCTCATAAATATTTCTTAATTTTAGTCACATTTCATAACTAGTAGTACATGTTACTGTATGTATTAAAGATTGCTTTTCTAAAGTGCTTGCAATAATTTGTTTTGCCTTGGCAATTTTCTTTTTCCATTCCACTGCTTGTAGTTGCATAGCTGTTGGTTCTAATTGAATAATGTCCAGATCTGCTGCTTCCAAATGGATTTTGATTTGGAATTTCCAGAGGGGATATCCGTCTGCATCCTTCAACTTATCGATACTAACCATCGCTTCAATTGTACTTGATGCAGCACACATTTTAAATTTTCACCAAACAGTTTTAATGTTCTTAATTAATTTTACACTTTATTTTTTAAGAAAAAAGTTTTACTATGCACTTGATACGTGGCACTCGAAAAGATTTTACACTTGATAAACTAGGTACATAAACTGTTGAAAGTTTTAAATTTTTATCGAGTCAGTGGATTTATCCAGTAAAACACATTTATCGAGTAACAAAGAAAAAATGGTATATTTCTACAAAAAGTTAAGGATAAAGTTCCGAAAAGCGTAGGCTTTTTGGACCTCCGTTTTGCTCCAAACTATGTTTTTTATTGCATTTTTGCGCGCTGATTACGAATATGACCATGCCGGTTGGCGACAAAGTCATTTTCAAAGTCAAAACTACGTGAAAAAACTCAAAAATTATCGTTTCTTTTAACATTATTTTTTAAGAAATTGACCAGCAGTTTTGAGAGCCTATATTTATATGGCTTTTGTTCAGTGCAACAATTGTGTCGTGTGTAAGTGTGGCATACAATTGAGGCTCGATAAGAGTGTGCTTTAGGAGAACCGTATAGTGATAATGTAATTTTAATTCGCAAAAATCAATATGAAGAGAATCGGTTACTCACAGAGTAATTTTCATTAGCGGGTGGCGAGCAATATAAAAATTAAGCTTACAGCTCTAATAATAATAAATGGGTCGAGAATTGACCTAACTATTGTAAGAACAATGTAGGTTTAGGAGATTTCGTAACAGGTTGTAAGATGCCAGAAAATTTAATGATACAAAAGATATCGGGTTGCGTCTCACGGACAACGAGAGTAGAGCGAGTTAAATGCAAGAAACGACATGTGCACCGATTAATAAAGAGAAAATTTTATTGCGCGAAAAAACGGGAACGCTACAAAATTTACGTGCGACATCAAAATTACAATCCCGAAGATATAGATAACTTTTTGCAAATGCAATATAATCTGTTTTTAGAACAGTAACTTTTGGAGAATTAAATATAAAAAATATGTTGCATCAATTTTTATTCATTGTATGTAGCATATTTATATTATCAATTATATTATACAATGTGTTTAACTTTTTCAAAAAAGTGTTTACGAATAACACTCACATTAGACAATAAATGTATGTACAAGACTCGCATTTGATTAGTAAGTAAAAAACTTATTAATCATATAAATAATTTATTTACTGGCAAAAGAGATTTATACCCTTATTCTTTTTATTTGCTTATCATTCTTGTCTTAAAGAACGTGCTTCGTATATACGTTTTTATATATAATTTTATACTTTTCTTACACTTTTAAATTATTTTCTTAGTATTTTAAGATAAAAAATTTTTTTCTATTCTTCAAAAATTATACATTACTTAATTAGAATTAATTAAAATTGTTTTCAATTAAAAACGTATGTGTAACTAACCGTATTTATATTGTAAAAATTATTTAATTAAAAATATCTTATTAAAAAATTTAATTAACTTATTAAATAAAAACGCGCCAGTCCTTTTGAAAGCACTAATTTTTCTTTTTATAATTATATAAAAACCTATAAAGGAGCTTGAAAACAGTACAGTGTATAACTGATATTTGTTCTGAAATGTTATGATTTCAAATCTTAGTAACAGTAGCATTAAGAAAACTTAATTGACCTATAGTAACGGTGTGTGAATAATACAGTATATTTTACTAAATTGTACTTGTATTATTTAAAATTCTTGAAAACAAAACACAAAGCTGTAACGAATTCATATTGCTAAAATGCGCTGACAATTTCAATCAAACCGGAAAACTGAAATTTATATTACCAAAAAACTGTTCGACGTTGTGTATGACACATGGTAAAAGTTTCTGCTTTTCGTCTCGTTAACAACTGCTGCTAACAATTGAAAATCCATACGCAAGGATGGATGACGAATATAATCCAGCATTGAATGCGATGGAGCACATTGATAACTACTACATGCCGGTTTTCTTGTGTTTTTTTCTGTTGGGCAACAGTCTATCCGTGTGTGTGCTCTTTTGCACAAAACTACGTTACAAGTCATCCAGCATCTACTTGGGTGCACTTGCGATGAGCGACATTGGTGTGTTGGTGATGACATTTATGAAATGGATAACTAATTGGATGGAAATTACAATTACTAAGGAATATTGTTGGGAAGCGCTATTGTTTAGTTTAAATCTTTTATTTCGTTCTCTGAGTGTGTGGATTGTAATAGCCTTTACTGTTCAACGATATGTAGTGATCAAGTGGCCGCTACTTCGTCGGTCTTTGTGCACAGTTAATCGAGCGAAAATCATAGTAATTGGACTGGCGGGATTAGCAGTTTTATACTCTATCCCATGGTTTATTATACAAAACATACGGTACACAAATATAAATGCACATAAGGAAAAAAAATTTGACTTCTTCAAGATCTTTGATATTAATGATACTATTATACCAAATAACTTATTTGAAAGAATCCCATCGTTTGACATGTTAAACATAACGTACACAAATTTAGATGCAGATGAGGGAGAAGAAATTCACAAGTGGAGCCTTGATATCAATGATACCATTATGACGATTTACTTACCTGAAAACATCCTATTGTTTATTATATCAAACATAACGTTAAACAACACAAATTTAGATGCAGATAAAGAAAAAAATTTTTTTTACTGGTTGGGGATTTTTAATATCATTCATGCTATTATAACGTGTTTCTTACCTGCAACAATGATAGTAATTTTTAATGCTCTAATAGTATACAACATCCGCAAGCAAAATTGTATCCGAAGAAACATGATTTCAAGTTTCTCTGCTTCCAATAAGAATACCCAAAGTTTTGGCAATGAAGCGTCTCACATTAAAGTCACAAAAATGCTTGTTATTATTTCAACCTTATTCATATGTTTGAATGTACCTATGCACGTCATTTATCTTTATTACAGCAGTGGCGTACGTATTAACATTTTTTGTTAAAGAAAAATCAACTATCAAATAGATTTCTTTAAAGATGCATTTTACATATTATAAAATACTATTAATTAATTTTTTTTTAATTCAAGTTTTTTTTATTATTCCTAATATTTTACTAAATATAATGTTAATTAATATAAAAACTGCACTTAAAAACTATATTATTCTTTATAATTTTTTAATGGTAGTTAATTGTAACGATACTAATCATATTTACAAATATTACAGATCTGTGGTACATATTGTTACTTACTTCTGTTCATCAGCCAATTATTATTGCTAGCAAATTATGGAATGGACGTTGTTTTGTATTGTGCAACTGGGAAGAATTTTCGCAGAGAATTGATCCGCATGTTTACGAAATCTTCAGATACTAGAAGAAACGCAGATATGGAGATGGAAAATTTTAGGGATTAGTGCGATTATTACTCCATCATTCAATTATTATAAGGTAATATAATGATAAAGCACGGCATCAAAAAATTTTATTAAATTATATATATTATATAATATATTATATATATTATATATTATATTATATTATATTTAAAAAAAAAATTTTTAAATATTATTTAATTATTTAATATTTAATTAAGTACATAGTTTCTTTACTAAAAATGTATTTTTTGTAAGCAATGTTCTACATATTAAGAAAGAATATTAATTAACTCTTCTCTAAAATTAAGTTTTTCTTTAAAAATTTTTAGTGTTTAATCGTTACGTTTGCTAACAATAAGATAAATGCTGCTACAGTCGAACACATTTACATACATGACTACATAATAATAAAAGAGTAATTATAATTATTTATAAATATTAAACCTTTAAACAATATTAAAGAAAAAAGAAAATAAATACAACTATACTTGTTAAATATTTAATTACTAACATTTATTTTATAGTATTATACAATATTTTTATGAAGTTAGAAGTTTGTACATAAATAAAATGCATGCCAAAATACTACGCTTTACTGTTAAGACAATATAAATTTAATTGATATAAAAACTGTATTACTTAATATTTATATTTCTTCAATTATTACATATAACGATAATAATCATGTTTGCAGATAATTTATGATTCAATTCCATAAGTTACTGTATCTGTCAGTAGTTGCATTTATACAAAAAGTTTTGGAATAAATTTTGTTGTCTATTGCACAACTTGAAAGAATTTTCGCAAAGAATTAAACCAGATGTTCACGAAACGTTCAGACATTAGAAGAAACGAAGACATCATGAAGATTATGGAAATGGAAAATTATGAGAAATGGTATAATTGATATCATGCAATTATAATAAGATAATAACTATTAAATTGATGATAAAATACGGTAGAATTATCGTATAATATTTAACTTTTCAAAGCAATGTTTACAAATAGCATTTATACTAAGTAATAAATGTGTTACATGTATATATACTTTTGGTTTTCGATTTTATATAATAATTTTTTATTTTACTATATAATTTTCTACTTTAAACTTTAGGAACTATACGTTGCGAGATTAAAACAAGAATTAATTAAAATTTTTACTAATTAAAAATGTATGTGCAATTAACAATGTTTAAGAGTAAGAAATCTAATTAAAATTGTCTTATCAAAAAATTTAATTAACTTTTGTTACCACGCATCATATTGTATGTCACTCATCGGTTCTCATAAGAGCCTGATGTTACACATGAGTGATAGCAAAAATTTTTAATTTAAACTTGAATTTTTATTTTTTATAATATAAATAAGTAAAATTTGCTCTGAACTTAGCAGATAAGATTGAAAACATTATAATGTGTGTTGGAGTTTGGTATGCAATTATATTACGTTATTTTAAGTAATTGTAACAGTTATTAAGACTTATTCTACAATAAGTCGTATATCGCTATAGGATGTTGCATATCGTATGATGGATATTATTGTGACCTACCCTTATACATAAAATATCATGTTATAATTTATAAAATAAAGATTAATAGTTGTCACAAAACTAAATAAACTACATAACAAAAGTTGGAAAAAACCTTTGCCAACAGAAATTCGTGTTGCTGTTATATGATATTGTAAAAAATTTCATCCATTGTAGTTAAATCTTGTGTAAATATTAAATGTTAATAAATTTGTTTTTTGTCATAACCGGAAAGAAGATGAAAGTTAAACATCTTTTTTCCGACTTTGACGACTTCAGATAATTAGTTGCAACAACCAGCTTTTTCGCAAAAAATTGATCTATATGTTTACGAAACGTTCAGACATTGGAAGGAACAAGAAACAAAGACATCATCAAAATGACAAATTATGAGGAATAATGTGATTGATACCATCATTCAATTATAATAAAATTATATAATGATAAGATAATAAAATAATCGTAGATATTTAATTTTTTAAAACAATATTTACGAATAGCGTAATGTTAATTAATAAATATGTTACATGTATATAATATATATTTGTTTTTTTATTGTATACAATAATTGTTTATTTTATGTTGAAAGTTTTTAATTTTTATCGAGTCAGTGGATTTATCCAGTAAAACACACTTATCGAGTAACGAAGAAAAAAAGATATATTTCTACAAAAAGTTAATATACAATTCTTTCACACAATTTTAATTCTTTGCAAGCTAAGATTTCTCCTATCACCTTTACTCTAAGAGCGCTCACAGACGTTAGAAGACGTCCTTCACGTCATCGTGAATATAAACGCTACACGTCAGTGCATACACATGCACTCTATTTCCTTGAAAAGGTAAAACTTTCAGCGCTTTATACAAAATGAGATTACCCATTTCAACATCTCCCCTTAATCTCATTTTCTTCTTAAGAAAAAATAACCAAATAAATCAAGATTAAAGAAATTGAATATTAAAGTTTACATATACTGATATAATCTTACTGTACTAACATGTCTCTGAACTTTTTAAATTTAATTGCTCAAAATTGCTCCTTTGTAAAAATGTCTGCTATCTGATCATTGGTGTTACAGTATACAATATTTATATTGTTTTCCTGAACCATTTCGCTTATGAAATGGAATCGCACATCTATATATTTTGATCTTTAATTAAATATTCTTGTTTTAATAAGTTTGATCGCACTTTAATTATCTACTATATACATTTTAGTATTTACAGTTTTGTTTAAGAGAGCCTCTAAAACGTCTTTTAAGTACAATAACTCTTTACAACAGGCAGCAGCTGAAATAAATTCTGCCTCTGTACTCGACAATGCAATGATAGGTTGCTTTCTCGATGCCCAGATTATCGATCCTCCGCAAAATTCTATGACATATCCTAATGTGTTTTTCCTGCTTTCTACATCTCCTGCATAATCTGCATCGCAATAACTTTTAAGTATCTCTATACTTTTTTTATTATAAAACGCTATTTCTAAATGTTTAGTTCCCTGTAAATATTCTCTTAAAATTCTCTTAACATTAATTACATCTACATTAGAAGGTTTTTGAGTATTTCTACTATTATATGTTACCGCAAAACTTAGATCTGGTCTTGTTTTAACGGTGAGATAGAGAAGGCTTCCTATCGCTTTTCTGAAAGAGAAAGATTCCGTCCTGTTACCTCCGTCGTTAGACTTAGTGTGAGTTAGAATTGTTGTATCGACTGCCTTTGCATTGTTCATGTCATATATTTCCAAAATTTTTTGTGAGTAGCTCTGTTGATTAAGTCTTGTGCCATTCTTCTGCTTCTCTATTTCTAAACCTAGAAAAAAAACTTCGATTTTCATTAATTGTTATTTCGAAAACGTTTTTAAGTTTTAAAAGTAGATTCTGTACGTTTTTGCTAAATAGTATACCATCATCTACATAAATGACTAGGAATGCAATATTCATTCTTTTTAAAAATGTATTTTTCAGTTAGCAGTTGTTTTAAACCATATTTTTTAAGTGTTTCTGTGAACTTCTTGTTCCAGCTGTACAATGCTTGCTTGAGACCGTATAACGCTTTCTTGAGCCTGCAAATTTTATTTTTCTTTTCTATATATCCTTCTGGTAGATACATAAAAATTTCCTTTTCTAATTCTCCATAGAGAAAAGCGGTTTTTATATCAAATTTAATGTGGTTCCAGTTGTAATATGCAGCCGATGCAAATAATATTCTTAAAGCAGCACTATCAACCACGGGACTACAATTTTTCATAATCTATGTTGTTTCTCTGTTCATATCCTTCTCTTACGAATCTCGCTTTATATTTTCCATCTTCTTTAATCTGGAAAACCCATCTACGTGATAAACATTTCTTTTCTTTTGTTTCGTTAGTATTTACTAGTTCCCAGGTTTTATTCTGTTTCAATGAGTTTTTTTCTTCCTGTATAGCTTTTATCCATTTTTTTCTGTCTTTACTGTTCATGACTTTATAATATATCATAAAAGCATAATCATTGTATCTGTTCGGAAATTTTGTCTGCCTATTAGATCTTCTTAGTGTTCTTTTTTCTTGTTCTAGTGATATGTTATTATTTCTTTCTAATATTCTTTTATTTTTATTATTTTCTTCTTCATCTGAAGAATCTTTGTTGATTTCAACGTCCTCTTCATTTTTTCATTCTCTTCATCTTCATTATCAAAATCCTCTTCGTGTAACACACAGGTTTTATTTTTATATTTCTTTTTTTTAGTGTGTTTATTTTCTTTCTCATTAAAGTGCACTTTTCGCGAGACAATTATTTTTAATTGGATTTCATAATTTATATCCTGTTTGCGTACAACGAACAAATTTTACGCGATTTTACTCTTCTTATCTAATTTTTTAAAGTGTCCTAATTCTTTTACATATGCTGTACAACCAAAAAATTTTGAAATTCTTTAAATTGGGTTTACTACCCATTCCATATCTCATATGCTGTTTATATATTTGTTTTTGTCGGACTTCTATTGAGTAGAAACGTTGCAACTCTTACTGCTTCTCCCCAAAATATTTTTTTTTCTTTGCTCCTAAAATCATTCTTCTCATCTTCAAAAGGCATTTTTATGTGATTTGCCTGTATACATGTTTCACAATTTCAGAGCTGTCCTTCAATTTCACTCTTTGTTAATTTTATCCCTTCAGACAATTTTAATAATTTATTCATGTTATTAGTGCCTAAATGACTTAATCTTTCATGCCATATTTTAACTGACGTTTTTTTAACAGTTCTCATAGCTGTTTCTATATTTTTATTAATTTCAATAACATATAATTTATCTGTATTTCTTTTTCTTTTAAAAATTGTATTTCTATCTTTGCTTATTATTACTTCGTCCTTGTAAAATTCTACCTTTCCTTCTTATTGCGTTATCGCACTAACCAACAAAAGATTTCTCCTTAAATCGGGTATATACAATACATTATTTAACTCACAGTTTCCTAAGTCAATCGTTCCTGTCTTCTTAGCTATCATGCTCCCTTCTTTCTTTGCCACACCAATCTTTGTTATTATTTTCCGTCTTTTCTTCAAATTCTCTAAATCATTCGTCATGTGAGACGTTGATCCCGAATCGGCAATCCAAACGTCGTTTTTTCCAGTGCCTGGGAGGAAAACTATTACTTAATCATTTTCTTCTTTTGCATAATCACCTTTTTTTTCTAAAAAAACAAATCTTTTCAGAGTAATTTGACGTTTTATATATTTTACAGAATTATGAAGAAACTTTTTTGCAATCTTTTGCTACGTGACCGGTTTTATGACAATTAAAACATTTTATGTCATTACCTTTTTTAGTAGCATCTATATATGTATTAAAGTTTGCTTTTTTAAAGTGCTTGCGATAATTCATTTTGCCTTGGCAACTCAAATTTTCCATTCCACTGCTTGTAGTTGCATAGCTATTGGTTCTAATTGAACAATGTCCAGAAGATCTGCTGCTTTCAAGTGGATTTCGATTTGAAATTTCCAGAGGGGATATCCGTCTGCATCCATCAACTTATCAATACTAACTGTCGCTCCAATTGTATTTGATGCAGCACACATTTTAAATTTTTACCAAACAATTTTGATGTTCTTAATTTTGCACTTTATTTTTGAAGAAAAAAGTTTAGTATGTACTCGAAATGTGGCACTCAAAAAGATTTTACACTTGATAAACTGGGCCATGAACTGTTGGATTATTTAAATTCTTATCGAGTCAGTGGATTTATGCAGTAAAACACACTTATTGAGTAACAAAAAAAAAAAGTATATCGTATTTTTTACAAAAAGTTAAGGATAAAGTTCCGAAAAGCCCACATCTCCGATTTGCTCTATACTACGTTTTTTATTGTATTTTTGCGCGCTAATTACGAATATGACCATACCGATTGGCGACAAGATCATTTTCAAAGTCAAAACTACATAAAAAAACTCTAAAATTATCGTTTCTTTTAACATTATTTTTTAAGA